AAAATGATGTCTTAAGGAAAATGAGTAGTGGATTCCTCAGAATAAAGGCTTATTTGGTTGAAGGTTTGTTTATCCAAATGAACAAATAAAACACTGGTTTGCATGGAAATCTTTTAGCAAAACAGCTAGAATTGGTATTTAGTGGAAGGTTGCATAATAGCTCTGTTACAGGATTCGGGTGCTTGGGATACGCTTGAATAATCTCGAGATGTACTTACATCTTTGTAGAGTAGAGGAACCACCTTCTCGTACCTTTCTTTTATTGCAGATTTCATGGAAATGTCTGTTACTAATTGGCCTGTTTTGTTTGTTTTGTTTTGGGGATTTTTTTTTTTTTTTTTTTTTTTTACATTGGGAGCTACTAACACCAGTTAAATATGGACAGGGGAATCCAAATAGCTATTTTATTGCAGGTACAACATTTATTATGTGAGCAATTCCTATCTGTTGGTTGGAATAATTATCATATAAAATAGGCAAGTGGGAAGGAGAGAACAGAGAGTGGCTGGATGCTTTGTTTCCTTGTCCTCATTCTGGAGTTTTTGTTTTTGATTCTTTCTTCATCGGTAGAACACACAGTTTCCGAAAAGTGGCTTTTTCAGGTTTCTTTTCCAGAAGGCTTGCATATCTGACCTGTTAATGGTTGCTTTCAAACACTAGGACAACTTGGCAGGGTTTTCCCCTTTGTCTCTTCTGCTGATTATTTCAATTGGAATTGGAGTGTGATGGAAAGTAGTTTCCAGCTCATTTTTGAAAATTAGGAATACGAGACCACCGTGTGTAGGTAAATCTTTAGAAAGCAGTTCTCTGGGGGTGGGAATCTTTGCTGATTTCTGTGGTGTAAATACTCCCACCAGGGCTGATTTCAAGATACCAGCAAGATGTTCCCCAACACAGAGTTGGAAAGAAATGCACTGTAGCAAACCATTATGGAATTTGTCCATCACATACAAAAACCATAGCCCTGGAGTCATGGTAAAATGTAGTAAATAGTTATGAAATGATGAGTTTTGAGTATTTATTACTTCGGTTTTTAAAGAGGGCTTATTAAATGGCAAATTTAATTTTTAACAATGGCTTTGTTGAACATTGAGCTCTCAGATCTCCTGGAAAGGTAACCACTGGTTTTAACACATTGACTGGGACCCAGAGAAGTCACCATCTCACTGAAGTATCAATGAATGAGCTGGCAGAAACTGGATTAGTGTCTGTTTCTAAAAACCAAATTTCTCTAGGAAGATTGACTTATTAATATTTCTGCTTATTCATTTGTCACTTTTTATTGCATGTTCTAATGATCTCTGAAAGGGGTTTCAGACTGTTACAGGCTGTTAATTATCTATTGAGATAATAACAGAATATCTGAATATAATTGTAACCAAGGATGGAGTGTGGAAATCAGATTTGATGTAGAGCCATAAATAGATCCTGGCTTTGAGTCTTGGCCCTGCTACTCACCAGCGTTGTAATCTTAAGTCACTTACGTACTTCTCTGGCTCCAATTTTAGTCTCCAAGATGAAAGAATTAAGCCACATGAATCTCTAATATCTCATATCTGTATAAAATATGATTCATTATTTAGACACATCAGTTCAACAGATATTTGCCAATACCAACTATGTGCACATTTGTCACGGACTCGATTCCAGGCAGAATTAAATACAATATAATTATAAGAATTATTATTATAACAGCATCTCACATTTATGCAGTGCTTTCTCATTTGCCAAAGAGAAAGTGTACTTTGAGTCTTGATGTTCTATGGCTCTAGGAGATTAAGACACATCCTCATAGAATGTTAGAGAAAGAAGAATGTATTCTAAAAGAACAAACAGAACCCTATTCCTAGGAAACGCAAGAGGTCATAACCAGGTAGTAACAAGGAATAAGGAACAAGCATTTTTTTGCCATGTCTATCAGTTGCTTCATTTATCTTAACAAAAAGCAAAACCGAAAACTTTTTTTTTCTAATTATGAGTCATTATTGTAGACACTTTAGAAATTTTTAAAAAGTATTAATTAGAGAAACTACCATATATCCAATATAATAGCCTGCTCTTCTTTACCTAATATTTTAGTATATTTTCCAAAACATTCTTATCATTTTAATTGCTGCGTATAATTCCATCTTTTTGGTGTACAACAACTTACTTTTCTTAAATTGTTTACATTGTTGACAGTTTTTATTATTCTAAGGATCACTGTGTTAAATAGCTGTGTTTGTAGAAAAACATTGTACTTTGGACATAAGGTTTCCCAACTGTAATCTTTAAGGTTTAGTAAGATAATTTCAATAAATCATATGCTTTTGACCTTTAGCTTATTTAATTCTGCCAATATTGCTTTGTATTTGCTTAGATTTTATGTTTCTAAACATTAGAAGGAACAGTTTGCCTGAATCCTTCAATATGATATATTTGAACTGGAAATAGCATCAATGTTTTCATATTATTTCATATAGACATGGTAAATTGTATGGTTAATAATTTTGTTTCACTTTCTTTGGGCAATAGTTTCTAGTATAGGGTGTTTTGTTTAGAAAGTACTCAACAAATGTTCAATACATTACAAGATTTGAGCTAATTTAGGGTAAACGAAAACATTTGAGAAGAATTTAAGAAAAAAAAGAAAACACTTCTCCATTCATGATAATAGCTCTCATTTTCACAAAGAAAGAGGACAGCCAAGCACAGTTCAGGAATTCTGATGGTTAAATGAGAATTATGAAATGAAGTATGTTGTTGCTTTAATTCACTGGCATGAGAAACCATGACTCTAATAGTTATTTGATTAAATGTTAATGAGATCTACTAAATTGACCCAACTCTTACTTTTATGTATTAGATGTATGTCAATTAAAACAAGATGAGTTTTACCTCTTTCTTCCTTTAACATCTTTGAGTCAACATCTGCTTACAAGGGAAGTGTTGTTACTGCCCTGGTTATTTAAATATTAATGACTTCCATTAAAGGGAGCTGGAGGTTTGCAACAGGAAGCGGGAGAAATTAGATGGCCTGATTAGTTTCTTGCCACCAGGAAAAAAAAAAAAAAACAAAAACTCTTACTGGAAGAGCTTCTTCTCCTATTTTTTTGCTTCCACAGATTTTTTTTTTCCTGAACCAGTTAGAGAGTAGGATTGTTGATTTTAAGTATTCCTTGAAAGTAGTTATGTTATTAAAACATCAGTGTAACAAGTTCACATAATTTTAAAAAATGTTTTATCAGCTCCATAGTGGTCACTACTCTTGGGATTCTTGGGACTAATTTCAGGTTTTAAATTCATTTTGTTCCTTATTATAGGCAAAACCATTTTTTAGCTACGGATTGTATTTGATTGGGCTTGTTTACATGAAGTATGGGGAATTCTATTAAGTCAATCATGAAAGATTTGACAAGCATTGTATATTTGATCAAATTATAATGGTAAATGTCTATCTTACTGGGGAAATGTGTCTAAAATTTGTTATAACCAGTATTTTCATGTTATGCCAGTTTGGGTTATGATAAGCACGTGGTAATAGATTTTTATATATTTTGTGTTTTTAAGATGTTTTAATGGCATGGTATTTTAAAGCACCATTTTAACAGTCCAAAGCAGGCATTATGTTCACATAATTGTATATTTCTTTTTACATCCAGAAACCTGAGTGAGTAAAGTATTTATTTGTTTCGTGTACTTTACTTAGACTTTAGAGCTAAGAATTTGGATCATGCTTAAATAGTAGTAAGGCAGAGTAATAATAGTACTGATGTAGGATCATAATTCTTAGCATTAAGGATTAAGGTGAATCAGGTGTGGCCTTTGCCCAGGGTAAAATTTAAGAGCATGCCAAAAAACTCAGTAATCATGATACAGAGTATTTTAATGCAATATTTGGGGGAGAAATCAAAATTAATGCAAGAAAAAAATACATGATAAACAAAACATCAAAATTTTAGAAAAAGTTGCAGTCCAGCCCTGCCTGTTCACCTGACTCACCTTAACCTGATCTTGGCCTTGACTGGGTTCCGCATGTCCTAGGATGAGGCATTCCTTTGAGTCAAATTTTCCTTATCTAAAATTGGTGATAATCACTTTTGATTTCCTGGTCGGGTTATTAAGATATTCAGATCAGCTGGAAACACGTGGGAAAGCCCATTGTAAATTCAAATTATATGTTTATGTACAAGTTTAGGGAAATCATATAATTTTAAGCCATTATTATTATTATCAGCTGAGATGAATACTCTAGATAAACATCAGATTCGAAGACCATTAAAAAGCTGTGTTCATAAAGTTTGAGGCATAGCTCTTGAGTTTACTTATCAGGTAGCTATAGGGACAGGGACCTATAGATAGTCCTAGGACCTCCTTCTTCTTCCTTCTTTCTTTTTTTGTTCTCGGATGCAAAGTTTACGATTTGTAGAGAGAGAAGAGGTAAACGGAAATCTGTTTTGTTTGTTTTAAATTTTTAAAATTTCTCTGCCACGGACAACTCATATCTCCCTTTTGCTCAAGCTGTTCCACCCATCAGTGATGCCTTCCCCATTTCTCCTGCCCATTTGGGCTCCACCCGCCTTTTACGCACATCTGCGACCTTGGTAAGGCCTTCCTGGGTTCTTTCAGTCTTCTCAATCCTCTCCCTTCCTGTGGTAGGTAACTGTCTCTACCACTCATCTGGTGATCAGTAACAGAGTCCTGTCGTCTTGAAGTTTTAGCTAATCCTGCATTGAATTTACTTTTCAGACCACGGTTTTAGAAATAGAAATTGTCTCTCTATATTTAGAAATACAAATATAAACCTGGATGGTGCCTCCTTCTCCCTTAGACTGCCCACTTTGGGGTAAGCAGGGATTGGATCTGTTTTATTCAGGTTGTATCCAAGGTGCTTAACACACACAATATACTTTTCTTTTTTTCAATATACCTATTTTTTGAATGAAATAAATGAAAGTCTTATATATAAAAGGCCTGGGTCAATATTTACTCTTCAGAATCATTTGTCGTTTTCCTCCTAGGACTAGAGGGAATGGTTGGTGCCATGTGGAAGGTGACTATTTTGGTGACCATGTTCATGTTCAGCCCTGGTGGTGATGGACTTTTTCATTCCATATACAAAAAAGCTCGGGTTTCTGTACCACGTGAGGGACACGTAGGAGAGCCATTATTTCTTACTTCCTACATTGAAGCTGGAAAACTCACAGAAGGTAAGTTTCATAAAATCAGAAAACCACTGGTAAATTTTCAACAGGTTTTTTATTTTTTTAAAGCAGTCATCTTACAGGATTCAAAATACCTTCTGGGTTTTATACTCAGTTGTTTTATTTCAAATATTAATGGTTTGATGTCCTATGTTATCAGAATTTTGAGCTAAAATGAGAGTTTGTCAGGGACAGATTATCTAGTGCTGGAGGCCCAACAGTTTCTATTTATAAAAAAAAAAAATAGCATAGTGCCTGTCCACAGCTGGACACTTAATGAAGTGACTATTTTTTTAAAAAGATTTTATTTATTTATTTGACAGAGAGAGATCACAAGTAGGCAGAGAGGCAGGCAGAGGGAGAGAGGGAAGCAGGCTCCCTGCTGAGTAGAGTGCCCCAGGCGGGGCTCAATCCCAGGACCCTGAGATCATGACCTGACCCGAAGGCAGAGGCTTAACCCACTGAGCCACCCAGGCATCCCTAATGAAGTGAATATTAACCTTAGAACTTGATATATGTCAGTTACTGGTTCAAAGGATTCTACATAAACTCATGTAAGCATCTCCACAGCCCACGGAGCTGTACCCATTTGACACACAAAAACACTAAAGCAGGAAGAGATTCAGTTACTTGCCAGAGTCAGCTGGACACCAGCTGGTAGATTCAGGATTCACACCCAAACAACCTCACTCTTCTCTATGATCACAGGCATCATATTGGGCCCCTTGGCCCGGCAAGTTCCCCAAACCTCCTAGGCCTCAGTTCCTTCCTTAACTAGATGGACAAATAATCACTTAGTCACGTTGCAGGGATGTTAAGAATCAGAGGAGAAAATGCACACGAGGGCTCTTTGTAATCTGTAAATTTTCTCCTAAATATTAGTGTTTGCAAGTTGTTTTTATTTCGACATTGAGGGTTTTTCTGTTACTATTAATAGGAAAGAGGTGTTATTTGGTATCATCAGAGACTGAAATTTATGGTATGTCTCTGCTCTTAATGCTTCTTTATATTTAAGTAAATCACTGTGTAGACAAATTACTTAATCTTTCTGGACATCAGTAGGCTCCTGAACTATAAAATAGTATATAGGCAGCTAGCCTGAGGTGCTATTTGTATAAGGAATCAGAGAAATGGGGTGGTGGCTGGAGGGTGCTATGGGGTCAGGAAGGGTCTTTAAGAGAGAAGAGACCATGTGTTTAATGATAGAAATGACCCAGGAGAGGATGGGGCAACTATTTCAGGAGTACTTACCTTTTTTTTTTTTTTTTAAGATTGTATTTATTTACTTATTAGAGAGAGAGCAGGTGGAGGAGCAGAGGGAGGGGGACAGGCAGACTCTACACGGGTCTACGGGGCAGAGTCTTACACGGGTCAATCCCACAACCCTGAGATCATGCATGACCTGACCTGAAATCAAGAGTCAGATGCTTAACTGACTGAGCAACCCAGGTGCCCCAGGAGTAATTTCTTTAAGTAGATGAGAAACATGGCAGCTGGCCCATAGATGGAGGTGTTTGGTTTGAAGGACTAAAGTTTATCTCTCATCACAGGAGGGAACACTGAATTAATGGCTGTGAGGCTGGTAGGTTGAGTGACAGCAGGAGAATGTGTGGAAGTGATACTGGATATTTTAGGGAAATAATCATTTTAAAGACCAAAATAAGCATGTGGACTCTGTTAAGAAATTTTAAAATAAAGCAACTTCTCTTCATTTGAAATTTTCTCATAGCTAATAGGATATCATCATTTTTGTTTTGCTTTGTTTGTTTTGTTTCCTTTAAAACCAACACATTCTTGTATCTTAAGGGTTGCATTTGAATCCTGGTGACATGTCTTTTTCTGACATACATACTGACTCCATGTCTCCTTATCTTTTTTCTAAGAAAAGGTGAAAAACTTTGATAATGTGGTCAGTGTACATTAGTGTATATTTGATGATGTAGTCAGAGAATGTAGTCAGTCCTTTTTAAAAAAAAAAGACTCATTTTTACTTGATGTGGAAAATAGTTCAGGCTCATATCATGAGACAAATATGAAGAGGCGAATAAATATCCAAATCCACCAAAATGAATCACATGCATTCATGTTGGATTCTTTAATAAGTGGAGAGTGATGACTTAGATTATGTTCATTAACAGGAAATCAAAGCAAATAATTTAGTTTAGAGCTGAACAAAAGTTGAATACTCATAACCAACCCTACCAATCCACAGATGAGGAATTTGAGATTTTAATACCTTACATGAACTGCCCAAGGAAATGCAGATAAGAGTACCAGAGATGTGTTTAGGGCTCAAATTTTCTGACTTCTTCTCTGTGATATGCCTGCTACAATTTATTTTCCTTTATTTAAGACTTTTGTGCTCTCCTCCTTTTTTTTAAAGATTTTATTTATTTAAGAGAGAAAGAGAGCACACGAGGGGTGGGGAAGGCAGAGGGAGAGAGAGCTGAGCAGGGAGGCTGGTGCGGGACTTGATCTCAGGACCCCGGGATCATGACCTGAGCTGAAAGCAGACAATTAAACCATTGAGCCACCCAGGTGCCCCAAGACACTTGTGCTTTTCTGATGTGACCAGATGCACACACATGAAACAATTAAGGAATAAAGCAGTGAGTACTAAACCACTAAATTATTACATTCAAGGTAGGCATAATGGAAATTTTGAGAAGAAGGCTATCCTATTGGTTGGTATAGTACAGAAAACAGTAATAGTATAGTAGTCAAAATAACAAATGACTAATATTTAATAATTATATGCCCAGGACCTAGCATAGTTTCTTTTCTTCTTCTTTTTTTTTTTTTTTAAGGATTTTATCCATCCATTTGACAAAAAGAGAAAGAACACAAGCAGGAGGAGCAGCATGCAGAAGGAAAAGCAGTGTCTCTGCTAAACAGCGAGCCCAACATGGGGCTTGATCCCAGGACTCTGGGATCACGACCTGAGCTGATGGCAGATCCTTAACCAACTGAGCCATCCAGGCATCCCCCCAGCACAGTTTCTATATGTAATAGGCACTAGATAAATATTTGTACAATTTAAGTTTTAGACCCGAATATGTGCCAAACATGGGTGTTACCCACACCTTAGTTTATTTAATCCTCAGAGCAACCCTAGTGAAGAAGGTATAAGTATTGTTCCCATTTCACAGATGAGAAAACTGAGGCCCAGAAAATTAGGTATCTTGGTCAGGGTTGTTTAAAGATAATAAGTGACAGAGGTAGAATTAAAAGCTATCCATCTCTGCTGACTCCAGAACCCGAGGTATGAGCCTCTGCACTGTGTGACTAGATCCAGACTTGAAGGTGCTAGGTGAGATTTGGGCAGATATAGAAGGACATGCATGTACTAAGGAAAGCAGTTCCAATCGAGGCATTTGGTGAAAGTGACCGTGGTGGTGTGTCTGTATCACATCTGGAAGAACCAAGTCAAAAGAATATGGGGAAGCCCATCTGAGAAACCGTCCACATCCCCCCATTCCTGTATTTGTTGCCTAGAAGCATTTCACCGTTGTGGTCATGAGCAGTACCAGAGAAAGCCCCTGGGGGTGGGGGTAGTTTTCATCCTCTGTCCTTCTGTGCCAAGTCTGATGCCTCACCATCGGATGAGCAACAACATCTAAAATAGTAAATCTGATGTAATGTCACTTTCTAAAGTTCTGTTACACAGTCAGAATTTTTGAATGGAATTTTAAGTAGCTAATCCAAAATCTGGTACATCTGGGTATTCAAATGCAGTCCTGATAACATAATTAAAGATAATTTTATTCATCCGCTTTACTGAAAGTTCAGGAAACTCTGGACAGATGGTCAGCTCATTCCCCCAAATCCCTTTTGTTTATTGAGTCCGTCAAAACCTTAGGAACGTGAGTCTTAGTATCACAATGGAACATTCTTGAGATAGATAGTAATTCACAAAAAGACAAGGGAATTTTTTGTTTTTTTAATCTCCCAATTAGCTGGTTTAGTTTTGTATAATTGTAATTGCACATTTACTTTCTCTGCAGCTAGAGGAAACCCTTAAAACAAAATGAATAAAGGAGGCAAATTTTAAAATATATACAGATACTGCCTTCTCACAAACTTTAAAGACTATTTTTTTTTAATTAGGTCTTTATTATTACTTACAGTCTGGCAGTGTCTTGTCTTGTACTGGAGTCTTTGTATATGTGAGGTACATCCTGATTGGCTAGTTCAAGTCCGTCTTTGGTCACACTCCAATCATTTTCAAAGTGTTAATATCACAAACATTGGTAACTGCTGTAAATAATATGGAGGAAGTGAAATCACTTCAAAGAAAACCTTTTCCTCTTTTTAACTGTTTTGAACATTTGTATTGTGAGTCATGGTTGCAGGAAGTAAGAAACTCCTAAAATCTTGGGAGTTTATTTTCCACGTTTCATCAGTAGGCTTTGGAAGGATAAACCGAACATTTGAAAATATGAAATATCATTTTAGTTGAAAGAACTTTCAATTATTTTACCATGATTTTGTTAAAGGAGATTTAAAAATTGAAACAGGGTGAAACACATTTTTGTGGGCCAGGGAAAAGTTCTTCTAAATTCTTAAGATTGTCATAAGGCTCCCTTCTTTAGCAGATTTTTGTAGAAAAATGTTCATCTTACTGTGTTGTCAGTTTGCCGGGTTTTAGTTTATCAATTCATTCATCCATTCACTAAATTCATTAAAAAGTGTGTATTGAATATCTTTAAGTTCTTAAGTCAGCATCCCTGTGGATACAAAGATAAACAAGGCAATTTCCCTGCTTTCCAGTAGTCCCTGATCTAGAAGGAAAGCAGGAAATGCACCTGAGTAAGTAAAAGGGAGCAGACATACATCTTTGGAAGCCTCAGTAAAGGACGGCCAGGGGAGCACTGAAGTCATTTTCAGAGCAGGCCAGTGGACCTTGTGCTGGGCTGGCCTCAGAGAGATACATTGATTCAATCATTTCTCTCCCATCTTCCATTCCCTTCAGCTCCTTTCTATTACATATTTCCTTTTTCTCATTCTACTTCGACCTTCCTCATTTTTCTTTGTCTTCTTTCTCGAATCCTCTCCCGCTCACTTACCTCTCTGTGATTCACATCTTAACTTATTCTCAGCCCCTCCATCTCCAGTTCTCTCTCCTTCTTTTTGAGGTTCTCTGATTGGAGAATATTAATAGTTCGAGGGAAAATATGTCAAAAGTGTTTCAGGTACAAAATTCCAGTTAGAAAAGAAATTAAGTCCTTGGGGATATGATAATGTACAGCATAGTGACATATTAGTTAGTAGTTAGTAGTAGTTAGTAATAGTTATTAGTAGACATAGTTAACAATACCATATTGCATATTTGAAAGCTGATAAGAGAATAGATCTTAAATATAGTTCTCATTATAAGAAAAAAAAATGTAACTGTATGGGGAGGGGTGTTTACTAAGACATTTTGGTGACCATTTCATAATATATACAAATATCGAATGGTTAGGTTGTACATCTGAAACTAATATAATGTTACACATCCATTATATCTCAATTTTTAAATGGGAAAAAAAAGAAAGAAAGAAAGAAAGAAAGAAACGAAAAAAAAAAAGAAAAAAGAAAAGAAGTTTTGAAAGTCTGCCCAGCCCTAGAGGGTGATCCTTCTTTGGTCTAATTGAGAGCGGAAGCAAGGAAGGGTGGGAGGGAAGCAGGGCTGCTGGGGGGGAGGGCTGTAGCCTGGGAGGAAGGCAGGCACATACCACGTTCCCCAAACATTTCCCTTTTCCTTTTCTTAAAATGCTCCTCTCCCTTTCTTTTTTCTTTGCCTTTTTCTGGCAGAGAAGGCTAAATCTCTTTGGGAAGAGCTTGGGAAGAGCTAGAGAAGCTGGATTGAGTTACGCAGTCTTCCCTAGGGAAACCGGACTAAGCCAGAAAAAAGCAGTCTTCCAGACTGCAGGTGGGGTGGCCCATGGGCTAGTGATGATATTCTCTTCCCTCGCCTGTGCCTTCATTTTTAAAAAATTATTTATTTATTTATTTATTTATTTATTTGAGAGAGAGAGAATGAGAGAGAATGAGAGGGGAGGTCAGAGAGAGAAGCAGACTCCTCATGGAGCTGGGAGCCTGATGCGGAACTCGATCCCAGGACTTAGGGATCACAACCCGAGCCGAAGGTGGTCGCTTAACCAACTGAGCCACCCAGGAGCCCCCTGAACCCTCATTTTACGTGCAGCTTTCTTCATTTGATCCTTGCGGAAAGCCCAGGGTGGGGGTGGGGGAGGAAATCAGTATCCACACTTTGCACAAGAGGAAAGAGAGACTCGGAGAGATAAAGCAACTTATCAGATAGTCTGGCTAAAATTACAGACCTAGGTCTGCCCGATTGAGAAACCCCTGTTCTTCCTGTTCTGCTAGCTTAGCAGGACCGTCTGGAAACTGCTGTTGAGACCCTGCCTTTGTCCTACTATCGCCTCTGCTCCCAGGTGTTCCTTGCTCCTGATGAGCAGGTGCATTTCACAGCTTAGTTGGTGTCATGGGTGAATCAGGACCAAGCTTCCTGACGTTTTCCTCTCTGCCAACCTTAATATGTGTCAGATATAAATAGCTTTTCTTGAATCAGTAATTTTTACTGCTTTGTTTCCACTAAGGAAGCTCTCTTCACCCAGACCCCTCTTTCAGTTCCCCCCACACGCTGCCGTCTCTTTCTTGTTTCTTCTCCATTCTGTTCCTGATCACTGTTCCTGTTTCTGCTCCCCTGCCACCCATACTTTCTGACTAACTCTGTGGTCAAGAAGCAGCATAGCAGGGTGAGAGAAGGAGCAGACTCTGAAGCCTGACTGCTAGGTTTGCCTCCCAGCTCTCCTTTACTAGCTGTGTGATCTCTGGCAAGTTACTTACCCTCTCTGAGCTTCAGCTCATCTGTAAAGTGGGGAACAATAATTACACCTATTGCATAACATAAAGCCCTCAGTACTGTTGCCTTTAAAGTGTTAGCTCTTCTATGGGCGCCTGGGTGGCTCAGGAAGTTGAGCATCTGACTCTTGGTTTGGGTTCAGGTCCTGATCTCAGGGTCCTGAGATTGAGCCCTGGACCTGTGGGGCTCTGTGCTCAGCAAGGAGTCTGCTTCTCTCTCTCTCTCTCTCTCTCTCTCTTTCTCTCTCTCCAACAAATAAAATCTTAAAAAAGATTTTAATTATTAGTTTTGTATACTTCTGGGTGTCCTCAAGCTATCTGAGCAGTCCCTCTTTCCCCCTCCCTGTCTCTGTCCCTTTGGTGCCATAAAAAAGCCACAACCTCTGCCCTCTACAATCATCCTGTTGTACTCTTTGGCTTCCTCCGAGTAGCCACGAGGTCAGCCTTAGTCTCACTGGCTGCCCCACCCTACCTTCCCCAGCCTTCCCCGCTGCCCACATGCGTCAGCCCATTTCCCTTAATGGAAGTGGCAGGCCTTTTGCTTTCATGATAAGGAGAGTGTGGAGAATATAGGCCTTCCGGAGGCTGAGCTACATAGCTGTGTTGTTTCTCTTTCAACTGCCTCATGTTTTGGGATTGGGTGACTTCTGCCCTGGCATTCCCAGTGGCTCAAATGTGAATACCATGATTTACTTTTTAGAGTGGAGCTTAAATAAATAAATAAATATAGATATATATATCTATCTATATATATCTATCTATATATATATCTTATTATAGCTCATAAACTATATTTGGGGACCAAAAAAAAAAAAGGTTAAAAATGTCAGTTGTCCTTGGCTAGGTTGTGAATGTCAAATATGTGGAATGGACCAGGGTGGGCTGGAATTTGCTACAGTAAGCAGCTTTGTGCCAGTCTCCTGATAGCCTTTCTCTTCACTCCATCCCAGCCCTGGCCCCTGGGAGGGAGAAGATGGGCTGAGAGGGAGCTGGCTAACATTGTATCATTTCTTTAATCCTTGGGTAAATTTGTTCTTCCACTAGGAAAAAGAAAGAGTTTGGTCCCTCCTTTCCCAGGTTTGAATGTGAAGAGTTATGCTGGCTACCTCACCGTGAATAAGACCTACAACAGCAACCTTTTCTTCTGGTTCTTCCCGGCTCAGGTAGGCGGGCAAGAGCCCCCTCATAGGACACTAATCCTCAGGGGCTGGGGTTGCTGCCCCAGGGCAGACAAGTTAGCCTACAAACAATGTACTTTTTAAATTTTTTTTTTTTGCATCTTTTAGATTTTTTTCTAAAAATAAGTGCCAGTGACTCTGTGTGGTGTTCCTGTTTATGTGCAGGAAACAAATGTTTGCAGGGAAGGTCCAACTTTTAAATTCCTTGCAGCCTTGTGCAGAACAGTCACATTACCGCCTTCTTCCTGCCATGGTCTTCTTAAATCATTCTGTTGTCATTTTGTTCTAAAAATACCTTGGGCGAGAATGGGCAGTCGGGAGCCAATGGATGATAAGGAATGGGGAGATTCGCAAAATGCACAGGTAATGCCCGTCTAAGTTAATTGATGGTGGATTTCCATGGCTCCGCTGTCCACAGACTTTGCAGTACCAGTTCTTATTTTTGTACTCACCCCTTCATGCATCCTGCACCCACTGAGTAGTGTTCTGTGGGAACACAGAAGAGAGAGAATTGAACTTATTCTGGCAGACTTGGCAGGGACAGGTGGGGAGGACTGCAGATCTAGGATGGAACTCTAGAGCACAGATGACTCACTTTCTCAGGCCCATATACATACACAGCTGGGTATGTTCTTAGACTTCACAAGTCTTGCTTAGTGCTTGGTGATGACACACAACTCTTCAGCACGAACAAATCACTTTAGGCCAATGGGTACTGTTTGGTAGGGAGGGGCTTGTGAAGATTGGTAGAGGTGCTGAGATGCATAAATAAATTTATCACACCACAGGATCATTTTCTATTTTTATTTTCCAAATTGGATTTGGTTTAGAAACCAGGGGAAACAAAGAAAAAGCTATCCCTAGGGAGGGTAGTATTTATATTTGCATCTGATTTGCATAGAGCAGCATTGCATTTATAAGATTGTTTACTCTAGTTTAAAGCAAATTAAATGGCTTTTATTAGTGCGATTGGGTTGTATTTTCTTGACTTCTCATTTCTGCTTTCTTAACCATGGCCTCTGCTGAAGTGGACCATGTAGTTGTGGATGGGAGGAAGCACATAAGAACTGGTCAAGAATTCCAGATGCTTTTTGGTTGGCCTCATAGTAGTCTTCAGGCTGTCACCCAGTGCGGGTGCGTAGAGCACAAAGTTAAAGGAGAGAACTCACACTCAGGGTTGTATGGGTACCATGTTGGGACCCAAGTGCCCTCCAGACTCCTGCTCCTGCTTCCCCCTGGTGGAACCCAACTGGAAACCAGAGGGAGAGAGAGTCCAGTTCTTGGAGCTCGGTCTACCAGGGCACAGAGCAGAGGAAAGAACGGATCTTCAGAAGCAGTGATGGAAACATACAAATATCCAGGACAACTGTCTTAAACAGAATTGATATAAAGGAAGCCTAGCAATATGAGCACATTCTAACAGGTAGAAATTTTTCGTGTGTGTGTTCTTGGAATCTCTTAACTTTATGCCTTTCATAAACCATACTATGCATGTGCATTTTTGATGTTACACCTTTTAATATCATATCATTGAATACAGGCATTTGTCACGAACTCCTTTGTATTAGTTCTCTATTGCTGCTGTACAGATTACCACAAACTTGGTGGTTTAAACGTTGCAAACTTATTATTTCACAGTTCTGCAGGTCAGAAGTCTGACATAGGCCTCACTGAGCTCAAATTAAGGTGTTGACAGATTTATGGTCCTGCTGGAGGCTCTCAGGGAAGATCTCTTTCCTTGCCTTTTGCATTTTCTAGAGGCTGCTCACGCTCCTCGCCTCATGGCTCCTTCCTCCATCTTCACAGCCTGCACTGGCAAGCAGGCTCACTCCTTCTCACATTGCGTCACCCTGGCCGATGGCGTGTTCATGTGACCTTCTCTGGCTCTTGTCCTCTGCTGCCCTCTTTTACATTTAAGGACCCTTGTGATAGCATTGGGCCCACTGGATAACCCAGGGTAATCTCCATATCGTAAGGTCAGTTGACTAGTGACCCCAAATCTTGCCAGCTACCTTAATTCCCAGTCACCATGTGGCTTAATCTATTCACAGAATCTGGGGATTTGGACGTGGACCCCTTTGGAGGGAGGGCCCTGATTCTGTGCCAAATGGATACTTGAAGAATTTGTCTAGATTTGTGATTCTTGGTATATTCTCTCTCAGTGAGTCTCACAGTTTATTGTGTATAAGAATTATCTCCAGATTTCCCCCAGAGACTCTGACTTGTAAAGTGGGAGAGGCCAGCAAGTGATAGAATTACCAGGTGGACTATACCTGAGAAGCCCTGGTTCCAGCCTACAGGCCACTGTCCTGTTTTTAGTGCTCCTGGACCCAAAGTGATCCACACCCCTTTATCCAGAGAAAAACACCTCCTGCAGATAAACTGGTACACATGTGGGTGGTGTACTGTCCCATGCACCCATCTGAGCGAGGACTGGAACATGGACCTAATGTGGCCTATGGGGTCAGCTTTCCTCATCCTGCTCAATGTTCCTCTAAGGCCTGCTGGGGCTCCGTGTCCCCAGAGCTCTCTGACTCCCTGAGCCCCGAGAAATCCCATTTCCTACTTTCTCTTCTGCTTCGGTGGCTGTTTCTGATACCAGGAAGTTCCCCATTGTCTTCTGCATGTTGAAACTCCAATAGTAATAACCCAGATTTATGAAAACAGGAATTAATGGTGAGGGAAGTGGTCAAATGAAAACAAAGCAAAGACTCAAATCATTTTTTTCTCTTGCCTCTGAACAGGGGTATGGTTTCCTCTAGAACGTGGGTGGTGCAGCAGGACTGGAAAGCCAGTCAGGGAAATGGGCTTAGACTCTTCTGGTTGCCAGACTGACATCTGAGCCCTCACTGCATTAAACAGTGACTGGGCTGCTGGGGTCTCCCCCCCCCCTTAATTAACTGAAGACATACCTCTGCATCCCCTAGCCAGGTGATGCTCTTTGGGGCCCAGGACTATAGCCCGAAACATGCTCTAAGATGATCCCAGAAGACATAAACTCAAGGCTGTGGCATCAGGAAAGAAGATGCTCGAGGACAGTGTGTTCTATTGGAAGTGACAGGCTCAGCTTCAGGGGAGAAACAGACAGGCTGAAAAGATGGTACCCTGACAACTGTCAGCATGGGACAGCCAGGATAGACGGTTCTGAGCCCTCCTTACCCGGGGAGCCCCCAAGCAGCACTGGCATCTGGGGCCCCAGAGCAACCATTCTTGCCCAGCCCAGGGCTGTAAATAATGAAACAGGCCATTTGAGAGGAAGTAGAGAAAGCAAATGAGAAAAAGAAGCGGTGATCAGATCACCCAGACAGGGGAAGAGTTCTTTCATTTGGCAGAAAGATTAGTTCCTTTCCTGCCACGGGGAAGCAGCTGAGATTATCATCAGGAGAGAAATGACCCTTTACAAAAATTGAAGGTAGAGAAAATAAGAGATCCAGGAAGGATGCCACCTTGTCATATCCTCTGAATATTTTGGGGGGGATGCTGTTTCTCAAATTAGTTTTGTCTTCCTGTTATTTCTGCAAGACTCCCCTGTTATTGTATACAGATCAGTGTGTAATGGATTCTAGAGCTGGAAATTGGTGTGCAGTGGGGACACGGTATGCAAGAGAAATAACAGGCATTTTATTTCATGGGGGAAGAAGTATAATGAAGCCAATAAAAATGTCACAATTTTAATGACTATTGTTAATTGAATATTGACTATGTGCTAAGCACTGTGCATTTTCTTATTTAATCCTTACAATAACCACATGAAGAAGAAATTATTATCCTTGTTTAATAGATGAAGAGGACTACAGAGATTAAATAATTAGGCCCCAATGGCCCAACTAGAAATTGGTAGAACCTGGATTTAAAACTAGGCCTCCGATGGAGAAATCTTTGTTCTTGATCATTGTACGTTGATCCTGAGAAAACTGGCCATAAAAGGTGCTAGACTGCATCATTAACATTATAGCTCTTGAGTTAGTCAAGTTTGCCTAAATCCTTGGCTTCCGTGTGACAAATGTGAGCCTACTTGACAACAGTTTTGAGACAAATGAGAGAACGTGGGAAAGCCTCAGATTGGCACCTGACACGTAGTAAGTAGAACTTCTATTGCTATTATCTCATTATCATCGTGTTTATCATTATTAGTTTTCCTGTTATTAATACAAATACTGAGCAGAACTAAACCAGTCATGATGTGGGAGATTAAAGAAGGCAGAGACCAGGAGGCCATTCCAAATTGGAAGTCGCTGAATGCCGGCGAAGCGTGTGGATTCATTGCTACTGGGTAAAGACATTACAAAGTGACATTGGGGTTTTCCAATTTAAGAAGATAGAAAGGTGTAGAGATTATTCTTTTTACAATTAGAATTCTTCCCTCTGGAGAAAGATACCCTGTATTTGAATTTGTCTCGTAGATATGGGAATATAGATGATTTGTTGGATAGTCTGCCTCAAGTATTATGGAACCTAAACCAGAGACCTTAAGAGTTAGGCCTTTGGCCCTTTGCTAAGGGCCCCATCCTGCTCCTCTGGCCGAGAGAGTGGCTAGGATTCCTGGAATCTGAGTATCTGGTGACTGAGGAAGATCAATATCATATTGAGGAGTCAGCAAGGCTGGGACAGGGTGAGGTAGGCAGACTCCAAGAGTGACCTTGGTTTCTAGACGGGCTCCTGCCATATTGAATCAAGGCTGGCCCTTGTGAGCAATGCACTATAGAAGAAGCAATGGTGGGTGACTTCCAAGGCTACTCTCAAGGGCAGAGTACTTCTGCCTTGGTCTCTTGGATCACTCACGCTGAGAGAAGCCAGAGGCCATTGGGAGGACACTGACGCAACCGTGTGGGCATATCCCTATGGAGAGAAAGTCCTCTCCCACCAGACAGCACCAACATTGGACGATGTTCATCCAGCCCAGTCAGAGGACTACGGTCCTGGCTGATATCTTAACTGTAATTTCATGAGACACCCTGAGGCAGAACCATCCAGCCAGACATCCC